AAGGAATGTTTATTCCTTTTTGTTTTTTTAAGTCACATAGTTAATGTAGCAAGAGTAATCCAAGTATATACTTTTTCCCCCCAGTAATTTTATTGAGATCATAATGGTTTATAACATTGTATAATTTTAGGTATACATTGTATTTATCAATCTCTTCATTGTGCTCACCACCGTTAGTCTAATTTTTGTCTGTCACTGTTCATTTGTGCCCCTTAACCCCTTTTGCTCACCCCCTTTGCCTCCGGTAACCACTGATCTGTTCTCTTTATCCATGCATGTGTATCTTCCACATATGAGTGAAATTATGCAGCATTTGTCTTTCTCTGTCTGACTTATTTCACTTAAGATCATACCCTCAAGGTCCATGCTTGTTGTTGCAAATGGGATGATTTCATCTCTTTATGGCTGAGTACTATTCCATTTGTATATACCACATCATCTTTATCCAGTTATCTGTAGAAGGGCACTTAGATTGCTTCCATGTCTTGGCTATTGTGAATAGCGCTACAGTAAACATGGGATGCATAAATCTCTGGATCATTGATTTCAAATTCTTTGGATAAATACCCAGTAGTGGGATAGCTGGATCATATGATATTTCTATTTTTAATTTTTTGAGAAATCTCCATACTGTTTTTTTTTGGTGGCTGCACCAGGTTGCATTCTCACCAGCAGTGCATGAGGGTTTCCTTTTCTCCACGTTGTCTCCAACATTTGTTGTTTTCTGTCTTGGTAATTATAGCTATTATGACTGGTGTAAGGTGATATTGCATTGCAGTTTTGAATTGCATTTCCCTAATAATTAGTGATACTGAACATCATTTCATGTGCCTATTGGCCAACTGCATATCTTTGGGAAAATGTCTGTTTATATCCTCTGCCCACTTTTTGATCGACTGGTTTGTTTTTTTGTTGTTGAGTTGTGTGAGTTCTTTATATTTTTTGGAGATCAACCCCTGGTCAAATAAATGATTTGCAAATATTTTCTCCCAGTTGTTGGGTTGTCTTTTCATTTTGTTCGTGTTTTCCTTTGCTTTGCAGAAGGTGTTTAGTCTGATGTAGTCCCATTTGCTAAACTTTTTCTTTTGTTTCTCTTGCCTGAGTAGACATGGTATTTGAAAAGATGCTGCTAAGATCAATGTCAAATAGTGTGCTGCCTATATTTTCTTGTAGGAGTTTTATGGTTTTAGGTCTTACATCCAAGTCTTTAATCCATTTTGAGTTAATTTTTGTGTATGGTGTAAGATACTGGTCTTTCATTCTGTTGCATGTGACTATCTAGTTTTCCCAACACCATTTATTGAAGAGACTTTCCTTTCTCAATTGTATGTTCTTGTCTCCTTTGTTGGAGATTAACTGTCCTTAGATGTGTGGTTTTATTTCTGGGCTTTCAAATCTATTCTTTTGATCTGTGTGTCTGTTTTTGTGCCAGTACCATGTTGGTTTGATTACTATAGCTTTGTAGTATATTTTGAAGTCAGCGATTGTCATGCCTCCAGCTTTGTTCTTTTTTCTCAGGATTGCTTTGGCTATTCAGGTCTTTTGTTGTTCCTAATAAATGTTAGGATTCTTTGTTCTATTTCCATGAAGAATGCTACTGAGATTCTGATTGGGATTGCATTGAATCTGTAGATTGCTTTAGGTAGTAGGGACATTTTAGCATATCCATGTTCTTCCAACCCATGAGCATGGAATATCTTTCCATTTCTTTATGTCTTCTTCAATTTCTTTCAATGTCTTATTGTTTTCAGTGTATAGGTCTTTCACCTCATTGCTTAAGTTTATTGCTAGGTATTTTATTCTTATTGTTGTGATTGTATTCTTGATTTCTCTTTCTGCTAGTTCATTGTTAGTGTATAGAAATGCAGCTGAGTTTTGTAAATTGATTTTATACCCTGCAACTTTGCTGTAGTTATTGATTATTTCTAATACTTTTCTGTAAAGAGTGAGAACTTCACTTATTCCTTTCCAATTTGGATTCCTTTTATTTCTTTTTCTTGTCTAATTGCTCTGGCCAATACCTCTAGTACTATGTTGAATAGGAGTGGCGAGATTGGGCACCCTTGTCTTGTTCCTGTTCTCAGAGGGATGGCTTTCAGTTTTTCACCATTGAGTATGATGTTTGCTGTGGGTTTGTCATATATGGCCTTTATCATGTTGAGGTACTTTCCTCCTATACCCATTTTATTCAGATTTTTTATCATAAGTGAATGTTGGATCTTGTCAAATGCTTTTTCTGCATCTATTGAGATGATCATGTGATTTTTATTCCTCATTTTGTTAATGGGGTATATCACATTGATTGATTTGCAGATGTTGAACCATCTCTACATCCCTGGAATAAATCCCACTTGATCGTGGTGTATGATCTTTTTAATGTATTGCTTTATTCAGTTTGCCAACATTTTGTTGAGGATTTTTGCATCTGTGTTCATCAGCAATATTGGCCTGTAATTTTCCTTCTTTATGCTGTCTTTGCCTGGTTTTGGTATCAGGGTAATGTTGGCCTCATAGAATGAGTTAGGAAGTGTTCGTCTTCTTCAATTTTTTGGAGCAGTTTGAGAAGGATACATATTGAGTCTTCTTTGAAGGTTTGGTAGAATTCTCCAGAGAAGCATTCTGGTCCTGGACTTTTGTGTTTTGGGAGGATTTTGATTCCTGTTTCGATTTCTTGGTTTCTTCATGATTGGTCTATTCAAATTCTCTGTTTCTTCTTGATTCAGTTTTGGGAGGTTGTTTGAATCCAAGATCCAAGAATTTACTCATTTCTTCTAGGTTATCCAGTTTGTTGGCATATACTTTTTCATAGTATTCTCTATAATCCTTTGTATTTCTACAGTTTCTGTTTTATTTTCTCCACTATCATTTCTAATTTTATTTATTTGAGCCCTCTCTCTTTTTTTCTTGGTGAGTCTGGCTAAGGGTTTGTCAGTTTTTTTATCTTCTCAAAGAACCAGCTCTTAGTTTCATTAATCCTTTCTACTGTTTTTTTTAGTCTTTATTTTATTTATTTCTGCTCTGATTTTTATTATTTCCCTCCTTTTCCTGACTTTGGGCTTTGTTTGTTCTTTTTCTAGTGCTCTTAGGTGCAGTTTAAGGTTACTTATTTGAGATTTTTCTTGTTTGTTGAGGTGGGTCTGTATTCCTATGAATTTCCTTCTTATGACTGCTTTTGCTGCATCCCGTAAGAGTTGGTATGTTGTATTTTCATTTTCATTTGTCTCCAGATATTTTTAAATTTCTCTTTTGTGGTTCAGTAGCATGTTGTTTAGCCTCCACATATTTCTAACTTTCCCAGTTTCTTTCTTGTAGTTGATGTCTAGTTTCATAGCATTGTGGTTGGAAAAGATGCTTGAGATGATTTCAGTCTTAAATTTATTGAGGCTTGCCTTGTTTCCCAACATAAGGTTTATCTTTGAGAATGATCCATGTGCGCTTGTTTGTGTATTCTGCTGTTTTTGGATGGAATGCTCTCTATATATCTCTTAAGTCTATCTGATCAAGTGTTTCATTTAAATCTACTGTTTACTTGTTGCCTTTTTGTCTGGATGATCCGTCCATTGATGTGAGTGGGGTATTGAGGTCCCCTACTATTGTTGTGTTGCTGTTGATTTCTCCCTTTACATCCGTTAAAATTTTCTTTATGTACTTTGGTGCCCGTTTGTTAGGTGTGTATATATTAATAAGTGTTATGTCCTCTTGGTGGAATATCCTTTTCATCATTATATACTGCACCTCTTTGTCTCCCATTGTCTTTTTTAACTTGAAGTCTGCTTTGTCTGATAACGGCAACATCTGCTTTCTTTTGTTAGCCATTAGCTTGGAGTATCATCTTCCCTGTCTTCACTCTCAGTCTCTGTTTGTCTTGAGAGCTGAGATGTGTTTCCTGGAGGCAGCATATTGTTGAATCTTGTTTTTTAATCCATCCAGCTACTCTGTGTCTTTTGATTGGGAAATTCAACTCATTTACATTTAGAGTGATTATGGATATTTGAGGGCTTAATATTGCTATGTTATCTCTTGTTCTTTGGTTTTATGTTTCCGTTGTTTCTCTTCCTTTGTATTTCTGGCTGCCATTTCATTTTGGTGGTTCTCTGAGGAGGTTTTCTCAGTTTTCTCAATTTTTGTGAATTGTAGCTCTACTCTAATTTTTTGTTTAGTGGTTACCATGACATTTGTATAAAAGATCTCATAGATGAAATAGTCTATTTTTTCATAGTCTCTTATCTCCATTAACCTAAGCAGGTTCCATCTCTTTCTCCTTCCTGAGTTATTGTTGTTAGAAATTATTCTGTTTTGTTTTTGTTTTTGAGGAAGATTAGCGGTGAGCTAACATCTGCTGCCAATCCTCCTCTTTGCTGAGGAAGACTGGCCCTGAGCTAACATCCGTGCCCATCTTCCCCTACTTTATATGTGGGACGCCTAGCACAGCATGGCTTGCCAAGTGGTGCCATGTCCGCACCCGGGATCTGAACTGGCAAACCCTGGGCCGCCAAAGCAAAACTTGCGGACTTAACTGCTGCGCCACCGTGCTGGTCCCAGAAATAATTCTGTTTTTAATTGTGAGTTTGTGACTAATTTGAAGTATTTATAGTTACTTTTGAGGCTTTCTTTCCCTCCAAGTATATACTTTTGCTCATGCGATTTCTAGTAGATGATGAGGTTACCAGGTCTTTGTTTTCTTCTGGAAAGTATAATTTCCATTCAAAAAACAGTGCACTTTTTTTTAGGGAAAAATGTTTTTTTCCTATGCAAATATTTTACTTTTTGCTTGAATTATTCCAGTTGTATTAAAATAGTCATCAGATTGTCCTTATTCGCGATTTTTGTTGTTGTATCTCTGCTGATAAATCTTTTTTTTTATTGGTGGTGTTGGGTAGTGATGTTAATCACAGATTCCTTAAGCATCTTATGAAATCCATTTACCAATGAATTGTTCTTTCATCTTTTTTCTCCTCAGATTGGAACTTATGTTGCTTCTTGTTTGTGTTTTGTTGAAGGTACGGCTTGTAGATGCTGCCTTTGTTTGGACTGAGCCCCATTCTAAGAGACTTAAAGTTAAACTAACTATTCAGAAAGAGGTAAGCTATATGTAGTTTTCTCAGCATGGTTAAAGTGTAGGGAGTGCACACGAGGGGCTGTTGGTGCAAATGAGTGGCTATTGGTAGGTTGGCTTCAACAGCTTAAAAGGAAAAGAATACACTCTTAATTTTAACCCTTTGTTTGCAGAAGCTATTGCTCATGGTTAGTGGGCTAAGATAATCTTTTCAGTTAGTTTCTTTAGGAAAAAGATTGAAGTAAAAACATGAGCTAAGGCAGTGCTTCTCAAACTTGGCTGATCATCATGACTCACAGTAACTGAACCAAACTGGGTTCAACTAGATATGAGTTGGAATCTATATGTTTAAAAAGCTTCCCAGGTGATTTCTGATGATTAAGCTATGATTGGGAACAATTAAGTTAAGGATTGTTTTCTTTTTTGAGAGTTTTTTTTTTTGTCTTATTTTTTTTTTGAGGATGAATTTTACATATAGACACACACACATAGATATCAAAATTCTTCAAAGAATATTCTTACAACCTCTTCAGCTAAAGGTAAATTTGAAATGTTAATCTAATAGATCCTGCAAATTAAACCTGTATGTCTTTCTTGAAATAGTATAACTTATGACTTTAAATATAACTGATTTATTGTTGATGTCTTCAAAGCATTTATGGAAAAATATTTTAAGTTAAATATGAAAGCATCTTCTTCTCTTTTATTTTGGTGAGGAAGATTGGCCCCGAGCTAACTTCTGTTGCCAATCTTCCTCTTTTTGCTTGAGGAAGATTATTCCTGAGCCAACATTTGTGCCAATCTTCCTCTGTTTTGTATGTGGGATGCTGCCACAGTGTGGCTTGACGAGTGGTGCTAGGTCCACACCAAGGATCTGAACCAGTGAACCCCCGGCCGCCGAAGCAGAGTGTGTGAACTTAACCACTCTGCCACTGGGCTGGCCACTAAAACATCTTCTTTTAAGAAAAATATTTGTTGTTAAACAGAAAGGAAAGAATGAAGGAGTGTGATTGTTTTCTTTATCAGGTGATGAATGGTGCTATCCTTCAGCAAGTGTTTGTGGTGGATTATGTTGTTCAGCCCCAAATGTGTGGAGATTGCCATAGAGTAGAAGCTAAGGATTTCTGGAAGACTGTGGTTCAAGTCCGGCAAAAGGTAATGAGAGAATGATGATGAGTGATTCCTCCATCTTTGTTTTATCTTTGTCAGTCATAAATAGCTGGTAAAACCTCCTCCTTTCCCTTCTGTCCAGATCCTTCGGGTACCAGGGATGGTCTAGGTGTATGGAGTGTCTCCCTTTAGAAATAGGTCACTGTAGACTTTCAGATAACCTCAAAGACTGTTCAGTGTGCTGTGTCTATTGACGGCCTTTCTTTCCATTTCACCTATTAATCTAATAATGCATTTGTGTTTAGACTTTGCACAAAAAAACTTTCTACTATCTGGAACAGTTGATTTTGAAATATGGAATGCATCAGAATACACTTCGTATCAAAGAGATTCATGGTGAGTTAAAATTTAAAAGCATTTGAAGTGATGTTAGAATTTTATTTCAGCTGACCTGTGGAGTGTTTTTTTCCTGTACTGTCCAAAAGAACTTTCTGTTAGAGAGAAAAAAAATCTTAGTTCTTTTGCACTGTCCAGTATGGTAGCCACTAGCCGTGTGTGGCTATTGAATACTTGAAATGTGACCAGTGCTACAAAGGAACTGAATTTTTAATTTTTTTCTATTTTAATTTAAATTTACACCAAGTAGCTGGCGATTGAGTAAACCAGTATGTAGCTATGTTAATGGAAAGTAAAATGCTATGATAGAAAGCTCATTAAAAACTTGTTTTATGCAGAGATCAGTTTCTGACTGGAAGAAAATTATTTTTGACATCTGTAAGTTCTTTTGTAATATTTTTGTTTTTTAGATGGCTAGAGGCATCTGTGATGTATACATTAAATCAGAAGCCTAAACTCAGTAATAATAAACAGTGATGTACAAATGATTTAACTAGATTTCTTGAAGATGGAATTAAAAAATTTTGCATTTAGTTTTATAATGGCTTCTTAGAATGTGTTCTATCTCAGCATTTACTGTTGATGTACCACACTTATACATGCTAGTGATGGATGAATATATCTTTAATTAATAGTAGAAAACATAAATATTCTTTAGCAAACTCTTAAGTTTCTTGCTAAAGTTTAATATTTTTAGATGGTGCTTGCTACTGGTGGACATGTATGTTATTTTCCTAGTCTCTAAAGAACAGGTTTAGAGAGAGCTGTTCTTGAAGGAGTGACCAAATTCTTATATTACACTCCTTATTTTTTTATTTTTGTTTTTTGATGAGGAAGATTGGCCCTGAGCTAATGCCTGTTGCCAATCCTCTTTTTGCTTGAGGAAGATTGTCAGTGAGCTAACATCCACTCTAGTCTTCCTCTGTTTTGTATGTGGGTCACTGCTACAGCATGGCTTGATGAGTGGTGTAGGTCTGTGCCCAGGATCCGAACCCACGAACCCTGGGCTGCCAAAGTGGAACATGCTGAACTTGACCACTATGCCACCTGGGGGCCAGCCCCTATATTCCTTATTTTAAAACTGAGTTCTGGGGCTGGCCCTGTGGCTGAGTGGTTAAGTTTGCATGCTCCACTTTGGTGGTTCAGGGTTTCACTGGTTCAGATCCTGGGCACGGGTATGGCACCGCTCATTAAGCCATGCTGAGGCGGCATCCCACGTGCCACACCTAGAAGGACCCAGAACTAAAAATATACAAGTATGTACTGGAGGTATTTGGGGGAAAAAAGGAAAAAAATAAAATCTTTTAAAAGAAAACAAAACATAAAACCTGAGTTTCCCTGTTAACTTACTGATCTGTTAATTCGTTTATCTTGTATGTCTTGGCCAAAGTGCTCAGAAGTTGGTCTTGGGTCCTTAAATAGGGGGAAAGTGATTATCAGTTATGTCACCTGGAGAAAATCTTTTAAGCTTTCTCTCTGACCTGAGTGCATTACCAGTACATATAAGGTTAACAGTCTAAATTGGTGAAACACAGTTTAGTGAATACTTCTTGTAGGTAAGGTACCTTGCTGCCTGTTTGAAGTAGTACCTGGTTGTGTGTGGTTAGCCACCAGGCAAAAATAGACGCTTGTTCTCAGTAACTTTGTTTTGAGTAACATTTTTGGGATTAAGGAGATTCAAATATTCTAGCTAAGGAAGCAAAACACTATATACTCACACAGTATATACTCACAGAAATATACTCACACAGAATTTTTTTTTGTAGCAAAGACTTGCATACATTCTGGGATATACGTTTGTAGTCACTTTCAAAACCAAAAATGTTACAAGTTTAACAACCTTTTTTTTCTTCCAGAGGAATCAATCTCTTTTCTTCCCCCTACTGGTTCTTGGTTTGATTTAAATGAATCTTTTGTTTGGTTGGTTATTTGTAACTTTGTTTTTAAAATCATAATAATCGTAAAAAATTAAACATAGAAGCATGTATAAAGGACTTCTATGTCCCATTTGTATGCTTGTTATCCCCAGAGGTAGCCCTTAAAACAAGATAGTACAATATGTGCTCTGTATGTAAATCGTTAGTGTTGGTTTCCCCCATATTTAGGATCGTTCTGTAATATTCTGTGACTGCCATCTTACGTAGTATATTTGGAAACATTTCCGTGTCATTGCGTATAGTCCTATTTCATTATTTTTAACCAGTGTGTGTGTATTCATTAATTAATGTATATTTATTTAGTTATTCCTTACTGATTGGCTTACAAGATGTTCCATTTTTTTACTGCTACAAACGGCATTGTAATAAATATCCTATGCATATTCAGTGATTTTTCTGTGAGATTGAGTTCAGGAATTGAACTTACTAGGCAAAAGTATGAAAATATTCAGTTTTTATATGTATTGCTAGGTTGTCTTCCAAAATCATGTTAGTTTACGGTCCCATCACTTGTGAGAGTTTCCATTTTCCACACACTTGCCAACAGTGCATAAGATTGTATTGGCCTTTCTAAGTTTTGCTGTTCTAACGTTAGAAGAAAATAATGGCATCTGGTTTTAATTTGCATTTTCTTGATTACTAACGAGGGTTAACATTTTTATATGTGTATTAGCCATAATGTTTATCTCTAATGTGAATTGTCTGTTCTTCATGTATCTGTTTTTTCCTCATTTATTTTGTGTCTTATTCAAGATATCGATCTCATTATGTGTGTGCGCATAGAGAGAGCGGGCCAGCATGCGTTTGAGCATGAGCCTGAGAGAGCAGATACTTTCTTATAGTCACGTCTTTTATCATTTGAATTTTTCATTTCTTAGTTATGTAGCTGTGGTTTATGACTTTTGTGTCTTACATAGGACAGTTTTCTATACTCCCAAGATTATTTTTAAAAAAGTAAATTATAGTTTTTGTTTTACTTTTCGATCTTTAATCTTACCTGGTAGGAGTTTTTCCCAGAAGGTTAGCTTGCATTATCTCAATACCTGTCTGCTGAATAGTTTATCCTTTCCCCACTGAGTTGAAATATCTCCTTGTATGTACTAAATTCGTTTATATACATGGTTCACCTCTGGCTTATTTTGTCTTACTGTTTCTGCATACTTTGTAAATTATGCTTTATGATATGTGTTCCCTTACTAGTATTTTTGCAAAACTTGGTTGATACTGAGTAAGAGCATGGATTCTGGAACCAAATTTTTTGGATTTGACTCTGTCCCACCAGTTTTTTGTTGTGTGACCTTAGGCAAGTTAATTAACTTCTCTGAGCCTCAGTTTTCCCATCAATAAAATAGGATGATGATAGCACCTACCTCATAGAATTATTAGTACCATGCTTGGCTCATAATCATGTTTATTCAGTTCTTTTCTCTACTTCAGTGGCATTTTATAGTTTTCCTCATAAGTATTTTGAGTATTTCTTGTTGGTTTTTCGGCTATTCTATACTGTTTGTTCTTATGGATGGCAACTTTTTTCATCAGATTTTCTAATTGATTAATTGGAAAGCTCTTGATTTTATATGTTGATCTTTCTGAAATTTCTTAATATCACTCATAGTTTCAGTTGATATTCTTTATTTTCTAGGCAAGCAGTTATCTGCAAACAATTGATAGTTTTATTTCTTCTTTTGCAGTATTTTGTCCCTTGTCTTTTCCTTTCTCTTTTTCTATTTGGCTAGGAGTGGCGAATAGCATTGAGTGGTAAGGTATCAGGCGTTATCATGTTTCTATGTTTCACCCCTAAGTATAGTATTTGAGATTTTTGTTTGATATGAATGCATATGTAGTTATGTACATATTTAAGCTGTTCTATCCAGTCTTGCTATCAGTTATGTTAGTGACATTGAAAGAGTTGGAAAGTTTACTCTCTTTCTACCTAGTGTTTATCAGCCTCTTAAAGTTTTCTGAGAACTTGCCTGTTAAGCCATCCTGTTTGGTATGGGGCGAGGAGTAAAAGTTTTTCAATTTCTTTTATTAGGATATTAGTCTCTCTCAGATATTCTATTTCTTGAATCAATTTTAATAGCGTTTTCCAAAGAAATAAACCATTTCGTCTAGCTTTTCACATTTGTGGCATAAAATTGAATGTAGTATGCATATATATATCATAATGTTAACTCTCATCCTTAACTATGTTATGTCCTCTTTATTGTTCTAATGTCTTTTCTCATCTTCCCTCACCACCCCATCAGGGCTGCCAAAGTTTTGTCTATTGTGTTAGTTTTTTCAAAAAACTAGCTTTAGTTTTATCAGGAAAGTCTTAGTTTTTCCTTTTTCTTAATTTTTGCTTTTATTACTAATTCCTTCTACTTTTTAAAAATTTACTTTTTTAGTGAGATATGATTGACATAACATTCTGTTAGTTTCAGGTGTACAACATAATGATTCAATATTTGTATATGTTCTTAAATGATCGCCACAGTAATTGTAGTTACCATCACCATGCATAGTTACAAACATTTCTTTTCCTCTACTTTCTTTAGTTTTATTTGAATTAATTGAAAGCTTAGTTTGTTTCTTTCAGTTTCTAATAAATATGCTTAAGGTTACAGATTTTCTTCTGAGTACCATATTGACTCTAGGTGGTATTTATGGCTACCGTTATCCACTAGCCATTGCTATTTCTTTTATTCTCAGCAAACATCTCAGCTATTTTATTCTCTTGGGTACATACCTAGGTGTAGAATTGCTGAGTATATGGTAAATTTATGTTTATCTTTTTAAGAAACTGCCAGACTGTTTCCAAAGTGGCTGTACCATTTTACATTCCCGTCAGCAATGTTTGAGGGTTCCGGTTTCTACATGTCTTCCCCAACACTTATTATTGTCTCTTTTTGTTTATGGCTATTCCAGAGTGTGTTGTGAAGTGGCATCTCATCATGGTTTTAATTTGCATTTCCCTAATGACTAATGATGTTGATTATCTTTTCATGACCTTATTAGCCATTCTTGTATCTTTTTTGGTGAAATAGCTATTCAAATCTTTTGCCCATTTTTCAGTTGGATTGTTTGTCTTATTAAGTTGTAAGAGTTCTTTTTAATATATTCTGGGTACAAACCCCTTATCGCATACATGATTTGCACATGTTTTTTCCTAGTCTATAGCCTGTCTTTTCATTTTCTTCATGGTATCTTTTTTTTCCAGTTGTGGTAAGAATACTTAACATGAGATCTACCGTCTTAGCAAATTTTAAGTGTATAGTACGTTATTGTTGACTGAGTGCAGTGTTGTACAGCGGATCTCTAGAGTTTACTCACCTTGCTCAACTGAAACTTTACGCTCATTAATTAGTAACTCCTCATTTCACCCTCTTCTCAACCCCTGGCAACCATAGTTCCACTCTTTGATACTGTTAGATACTCTATGTAAGTGAAATTATGCAGAATTTGTCTTTCTGTGACTGGCTTATTTCACTTAGCATAATGTCCTCAAAATTCATCTGTGTTGTTGCAGATTGCAGAATTTCTTTCCCTTTTAAGGATGAATAATATTCCATTGTATGTATATACCACATTTTATCCATTCATCTCCTGTGGAAACAACCTGAATGTCCGTCATTTTGGCTGTTGTGAATAGTGCTGCAATAAACATGGGATTGTGGGGCTGGCCTAGTGGTGTAGCGGTTAAGTTCGCACGTTCCACTTCTCGGCTGCCCGGGGTTCACCCGGTTTGGATCCCGGGTGCGGACGTGGCACCACTTGGCAAAAGCCATGCTGTGGTAGGTGTCCCACGTATACAGTAGAGGAAGATGGCCATGAATGTTAGCTCAGGGCCAGTCTTCCTCAGCAAAAAGAGGAGGATTGGCAGTAGTTAGCTCAGGGATAATCTTCCTCAAAACAAACAAAACAAAACAAAAAACCATGGGAATGTTAATAGCTCTTTGAGATCCTGATTTCAGTTCTTTTGGATAAATACCTAGAAGTGGGGTTATTGGATCACATTATGGTAGTTCTATTTTTAAATTTTTGAAGACCCTTCATGCTGTTTTCCATAGGGGCTGCACTATTTTGCGTTACGGGTTCCAGTTTCTCCCAATCCTCATCAATGCTTACCTTTCTTTTTTTTGATAATAGCCATCTTGACAGGTGTGAAGTGATATCTCATTGTGGTTTTGATTTGCATCTCCCTGAAGAGTTGTGACATTGAAAATTTTTTATATACCTGTTGGCCATTGGTATGTCTTCTCTGGAGAAATGTCTATATAGTTCCTTTGCCCATTTTTTAATTGGGTTATTAAGTTTTTTGCTAGTGAGTTGTGGGAGTTCCTAATATATTTTGGAGATTAACCCCTTATCAGATATAGGGTTTGCAGATATTTTCTCCTATTCTGTAGGTTGCCTTTTCACTGTGTTGGTTGTTTCTTTTGCTGTGCGAAAGGTTTTTAGTTTGATGTGGTCCCAGTTTTTCATTTTTTTGCCTATGCTTTTGGTGTCATATTTATGAAATCATTGCTATGACATATGACATATCATTGATATGTCGTGAAGCTCTTCCCCTGTATTTTCTTCCAAGAGTTAACATTTGAGTCTTGAATCTATTTTGAGTTGATTTTAGTATATGGTGTAAGACAAAGGTCCAATTTCATTCTTTTGCATGTGGATATCCAGTTTTCCCAGCGCCATTTGTTGAAGAAACTGTCCTTTCTCCACTATGTATTCTTGGCACCCTTGTTGAAGATCAGTTGACCATAAATGTATAGATTGATTTCTGGGCTCTCTGTTTTGTTCCATTGGTCTGTAGGGCTGTTTTAATGTCAGTACTATACTGTTTTGATTACTGGAGCTTTGTAATATATTTTGAAATCAGGAAGTGTGATGCCTGCATTTAGTGGTGTCTTTTTGAATTGCAGAAGTTTTAAATTTTGAGAACCAATTTATCAGTTTTTTTCTTTTATCTGTCCTGCTTTGGTGTCATGTTTAAGAACTCTTGTCTAATCAATGTCACAAAGATTTTTCTCCTGTTTCTTTCAAATGTTTTATAGTTTTAGCTTTTATATTTACCTCTAACCTTTTTGGGTTAGTTTTTGTGCATGGGGTGAGATAAGGGTCTAAATTCATCTTTTTCCATGTGGATATCCTGTTTTCCCAGTGAAAAGACCATCCTTTCTCAATGAATTGCCTTGGATCCTCTGTCAAAGATGTATTGACAGTAAATGTGAGGGTTTATTTGTGGATTCTCAAGTCTGTTCAATAGGTCTGTTATCTAATGTTATGCCAGTACTACCCTGTCTTGATTGCTTAGAGTTGTCAAGTTTTGAAATTGGGAAGTGTAAGTTCCCAACTTCATTCATCTTCAAAATTGTTTTGGCTATTCTGAGTTATTTTAGTTTCCTAGTTAGCTGAGTTGTTTGGAAGAATATCTGTAAACATTTCTTAGGTAGGTTTGCTTTTAGTTATCCCTTTGTTGCTGATTTTTAATGCTTCTGCATTGTGATTGGATAATATCTAGTAATTTCTACCATTTGGAATTTATTGAAGTGATTTTTTTTTCTTTTTTTCCTGAAGAAGATTCTCCCTGAGCTACCATCTGTTGCCAAACTTCCTCTTTTTTCTTGAGGAAGATTATCCCTGAACTAACATCTGTGCCAGTGTCCCTCTATTTTCTGTGTGGGTCATTGCCACAGCATGGCTGATGAGTGGTATAGGCCTGCACCTGGGGTCCAAACCCACGAACCTGGGCCACCGAGTGGAATGTGCCAAACTTAACCACTATGCCACAGGGCCAGCTGTCTTGAGTTTTTTCTTTAATCCTAGTACATGATGATTTTATGAATGTTCTATAAGTTTTTGGAAATAATATATATTCTTTCTTAGGACCATGTTTTATAATCGCAATTAAATCAACCTTGATAGTTGGTTATTCAAGTTCTATGTATCCTTCTTATTTTTGGTCAGTTTAGTTATTTTGGTATTGATAGTCTTATACTAGTTCCCCACAATGATTATGCATGTTTTAACATTTGTTAATTTCTTCTTTTCTTTTTAATAGTTTTTGTTTTCTGCATCTCAGTGCTGTGTTATTAGATGCATTCCTATTGTCTTTTTGGTAGATTGTTCCATTTAGTACATAAAATATCCTTCTTTGTTCTGTTTAGTGTTTTTCTCTCCCCCCTTGACCTTGACTTTTATTTTGTCTGAAATTAAAATTGTGAATCTTGTTTTCTTTTGTTAGCATTTGTCTATCCTTTTGTCACACGTCTTAAGTGATGTATTATCCCTAATCTTTATGACTGCAGTGTAATATTTTTTATATTTTCCTAATAATTTGGTTGTTTATTTAATTTCTGATATAGTCATGTTAATTGAGGAAAATCTTATTTTGCAGAATTATTTTCATATGCTTTTTTTTTTTTTTTTAAAGATGGTCTGGATTTCTATTATTCCTCAAAACAACATGCTCAGAAGATGGTAGAATTTCTTCAATGTACGGTTCCCTGTAGGTATGTTGTGAACCATGTATGTGGATGTAGATCATGTCCATTCTTCAGGCTTAGACAACTTCTCTTATGTTAATACATTTAAAATTGTGGTAGGAATACTTACACAGTTGGCAAGAAGTTATTGGATTAGCCACCTTAAGAGTTAGCCAAACAGCATGTAAGGCTCTGGGGAGCTAGACCTCATCCTGTGATAATAAGCACTGTAGTACTTGAATTGAATTGAATCAATACATTGATTGAATGTATTTAAATAAGAGAAAAAGAGAGATGGGGGGTAGAGGGTTTTGGGGAGAAGCTTCATGGAGGAGGAAGGACTTAAGCTCCTGAAATGGGAAATTGTCAAAGGTGGAGTTTCTGTTGAAAGGTGAGATTAGTGTGAACAAAGACTTGTGGTGGGCATTAGTGTGGCTTTTACTGGATACCATATATAGACGAGATAGGTCTGAACCAAGGGCACGTTTTAGAGGTTTTTGGTAGATAAAGGTGAAAATAGGTAGGGTGCAGTCAGATTGGTGAAGGTTTTGAAATGTAAGTGGATGAAATCAGGCTGCACCATGGCAGACATCAGGAATCTCAGACCTTGGACAGTGGTGATTTGATTTGATAAATAATCAATATTCTCCAAACTATTCGAGTAAGGACCTTTGCCTTTTTATTGCTATTAACTTTTTCTCTTAATAGATACAAAGCCTCACAGAGACTGATCTCTCAGGATATCCATAGTAACACATACAATTACAAAAGCACTTTTTCTGTGGAAATTGTTCCAATATGCAAGGTACTTTTCCTCATTTAATTAATCCATGTCTATAAAAGAGTACAAGTAACTAATTGGTTTATATGTAATTATTAGCTCCTGGTTTCCTTTGGGATTGGTTAAAAATTTAGAATAACTTCCTTCTTAAATGATTTCTGACACATTCAGCCATGTTAAAATGATCTTAAAAAGTAGTCATGCTTAAAATTATAAATTGGCTTACCTTTCATTTTGGTGTACTAATTAAAAGACCTGGTTACAGTTCTTAATGTCCTTATTCCTTAAAATTTGTCATCCTAGTGGACACATGACAGTTCTCTGAAACTTTGAATCTAGGAAATGACATTAAAATAAATATCTGTGAACCACTTTGTGGAATATGTGCAAACTGGATTTAGCATGGTGAAATTAGATAGTATTGTGGAAGTGAGATCATTTTTGTGATTTAAAAACAGTCTGAATAACACTTAAAATGTAGAATATCATTTCATTTAATTGTATTAAGGTAAAAACCCTACTTCAAAAATATAAATGAATTAAAATTCAACAAATATTTATTGAGGATCTACTGTATTAGAAGACTGTGTGTTAAGGATTATTTATCTAGAGGTCTTTGCCATATAGGAACTTATATGTCCATACTTAAATCACTAATAGATAAGTGCCATGATTTATTGTGAGCATTCTATATAAAGTTAATATCTGAGAACTTGGGTATATTTTACCTCTTCACATCTCATAATAGCTAGTGTAAATCATATTGTCATTTTGAAGATGAGGAAATTGATGCTGAGGGAGGTGAGATGACTTGCCCAAAATTACATGACTACAAAATGATGAAGCCAGGATTTGTGCCTAAGTCTGTGACTCTAAAGCTTTAAAGCTGTCACTATTTTATGTTAGCACAGTACCAGAGATGAAATGATGGCTTAACACAGGGTCAGCAAACTTTTTCTGTAAAGGACTAGATAGTAGAGATTTTCAGCTTTCAGGCCACATAGTTTCTTTCGCAACTACTTAGCTCTGCTGTTGTTGCAACAAGTAGCCATAGATAATAAGTAAACGAATGGCTGAGGCTGTGTGTCAGCAAAATTTTATTTACAGAAATGGGCAGTGGGCCTAATTTGTTCAGGGGTCATATTTTGCAGACCTGTAGTTTAAAACAGTGAACATTTTCCTGGTGCAAGGCCTAGGAAATATGATTCTAGATGTGAGGGCATGTTTAGGCCTTGTGTATTAAGTGCTTTGAGGGATTCATACAAGTAACTGGATGAATACACACTGTGGAGTATTTTCATTCATCTTTGGAGACTCTTATTAAGTTAAAAGTGAAGAGCCAGACTAGGTGCTATTAGGGATGCATAGAATGTGCCTTCAGTGGAGGAGCCTATGATCGTGAATAGATACACCTTAAAATGTAACCCAGATCCTTTATATATATATATATATATTTATTCCTAGGGAAGATGAGCTCTGAACTAAAATCCGTGCCAGTCTTCCTCTACTTTATACGTGGGTCGCCACCACAGCATGGCTGACGAATGGTGTAGGTCTGTGCCTAGGATTCAAACCTGTGAACCTGGGCCACTGAAGTGGAGCATGCTGAACTTTACCACTACATCATGGGGCTGGCCCCCTTTTTATGTTTTAATATAGTTTAAAAATAGATAATCATATGGCTGGTAGTTTCTCCCAATGTAGACTTAGAATATGTGCATTTTTGAGCATTAAATCTTCGTTTCCATACTGGTACATGTAGCCATGAAAGAGAAACGTGGCTCCTCTGAAGTTTGGTTGTTTTGGAGGTACAAAGAAGTCACAAGTAGATTTGGAAAATCATTCTCCTCCTGATGTTTATAATCCTTGGCTTAGAACATGATAAGCAAACATTCACACTTCAATAAAATTGACATAAACTTCATAACTTGGCAAATAGGATCTGGGAAAATTTTTTGATAGCATTTTTAATAAGACGTATCCCCATCTGAAGAAGGTGTAGCTTATTTTCTGTTTCTGTAAGGTCTGTTCTTTTCTTGAGGCCTTTTATTGATACATAGAATTAATAATAATGTTTTGGTTTGGGCGAATGCACTTGTATGCCTTTTACGTTGATGAGTGTTTATTGGAGACTGTTATTTAGGATTTGCTTCACTCTAAAATGTTGGTTCTTATGCCTAGGATAATGTTGTTTGTCTGTCTCCAAAACTGGCACAAAGTCTGGGAAACATGAACCAGATTTGTGTGTGTATTCGAGTAACCAGTGCCATCCATCTCATAGATCCAAATACCCTACAAGGTAAGTTATAGGAACTGTTTGCCTTGACACTTCTAGCCACTAAGTGGGGATAATATATGTTAATTTTATCAAACTTTGTCAGTAATATTGTTTTGAAAAACTAGTTAAAACTTTTACTTCTGTTTAATTCTTACAAAATACTGGAATTTTAAAAGCTCTTCATAAGTTACCCTTGTATTTTTTATTTAAAAAAACAGTTCTGTGCACTTTAAAAAATTTACTAGTTTCATTCCCTTTAGTTTTACTGAAATTGACTTATTGCCTCTTTTAATTTTTGTGGTTAATTATTTAAGTTCATTGCCAAATTTTAGTGTAGCAGATATTTTAGAGTTTGGAATATTTGTAAATATATATAAAAAATTGAGTTTATTTTGATATTTTCCAGAAAGTCATTCATTATGCTTGTCAATTAGAATTCATCAGTCAGAGGTCTGTTTGCAATATTGGGATGAACATCTGTCAGGTAGACTTTATTTCCCATAAACTAAGCAGCTAGGATGACTGATAATGTTTCTAAAATAAAATGCTAGCACATGAACAACTTTTAAAGGCACTTTAGCTCTGTGGTGTTCTGATAATAGTTCCTACTTAAGAAGTGTTTGACGCCTGACACTTCTCTTGTGCTGTGAGAAGTTTGGGGCTGATTTATAGGAATAAAAGACCTAGAGAGAGGGTTGCCACTGTGGTTCCTGTTGACCTGATGCTTCCCAGTTCATATATAGCAACTTCTTTCTAGCTAACACTTTTGATGACTTTTGAAATACTTTCATTCTCTTGTTCTTTGATGTTCTCTGTTTGTTCTTAGTTGCAGATATTGATGGCAGTACTTTCTGGAGTCAGCCTTTCAATAGTTTATGCCATCCCAAACAGCTAGAAGAGTTTATTGTGATGGATTGCAGCATAGTTCGAGATCTAAAACGCAGTGCAGGTGCTGGAATGATATCAAAAAAGGTAAGTTTCATCCTGCCCACCTCCTTCCCACCCCCGCAACTTACTGTTTTGGTCCCCTCTTTTTTTGGATATTTTTGTTTTTTTTAAATCTATTTGTAATTCCAAAAATGTGGTTCTAAATAAAATTAAAACCACTTTAGGTTAAAAATGTATTGCATGTTTGATTGTTGTTTGCTCTTGACATGTGGTCATTGTGGTGAAAATTACCAGATTTATACTATCTGATAAGTTAATTTTTTCTCTTTGATTTTGCAGACATTTTAAAAAATGTTTACTCTGTTGTTATGAAAAAGCGTTTCCTTCTTTTGCTTTTGTACAGGAGGACCAAATGACAAGCTAATCTTTTTGACTTTTTAAAAATTTTGAAATATTTTGAATTAAATATATGCTATATTATCACTAAATACTGAGTACTTCAGTATGCATCTCTAAAACATAGGAACATTTTTCTATACTTCAAAGTATTATCATACATATAAAGTATTTAGTTTGTGTTCAAATTTCCTCATTTGTCTCCAAATTTCTTTTATGGTTGGTTCAAACTAGTATCTGTTACAGACCATACACGGAATGTGAACATTATACCTCTTAAATCTTGTATTTAGTAATAGCGCCCCCCCCCCCCCTTTTTTTTTTCCATGATACCAGCTTCTTAAGCAACTAGGTCATTTATCTTGTGGATATATCTTATTGTTTCCTCATGATGTCATTTAATTTGCTTCTTAATCTCTTGTCTTTCCTTTAAACTGGAAAGTAGATCTAAAGGTTTGCTTAAATTTAGGTTAGTTATTTTTGGCCAGAACATTTCAGAGGTGATTCTGTGTGCTTTTTATGATATATCAAGAGACAAGTAATGTTTGGCTATTTCACTGATAGCCAGATCTCTCTATTGTAATGTTAGGATTTTTTTCCCTTGTTACTTGCCTGCCTGCCTGCCTTCCATTCTGCCCCAAGTTTAGCCGTGGGAGCCCCCTCAGAATAGTTTCTATGTCCTTGTTTAAAAAAAAATTTTAACAACTTTTACTTTTTTAGAGCAATTTCAGGTTCCCAGCAAATTAAGAGGAGGTAAGAGATTTTTTCCATATACCCCTAGTTTCCATACATGCATAGCCTCCTCTATTATCAGTATCCCTCCATCACAGTAGTACATTTGTTGCAGTTGATGAATCTGCACTGACTTGTTGTGATCACCCAAAGTCCATGGTTTACATTACATTTCCCTCCTGGTATTATACATTCTGTGGGTTTGGACAAATGTATCATGACGTGTGTCCATCATTATAATATCATACAGGATATTTTCACTGCCCGAAAAATCCTCTGTGCTCTGCTTATTCATTTCTCCCTCCCTCCTAATCCCGGGCAATCACTGATCTTTTTACTGTCTCTATAGTTTTGCCTTTTCCAGAATGTCATATGGTTGGAATCATACAGTCTTTTCAGACTGGCTTCTTTCACTTTGTAGTGTGCGTTTAAGCTTCCTCCATGTCTTTTCATGGCTTGAGAGCTGTTTTTTTTTTTTAAGTGCCCAATCATATTCCATTGTCTGGATGTACCATAGTTATCCATTTACCTACTGAAGGACATCTTGGTTGCTTCCAAGTTTTCGCAATTATGAAGAAAGTTGCCATAAACAACCTCATACAGGTTTTTGTGTGGACATAAGTTTTCAGCTCCTTTTGGTAAATACCAAGGAGCATACTTCTTGGATTGTTTGGTAAGAGTATGTTTAGTTTTGTAAGAAACTGCCACACTGTTTTCCAAAGTGGTGGTACCATTTTGCATTCCCATCAGCAATCCCCTCTTGATCCACATGCTCATCAGCATTTGGTGGTGTCAGTGTTCAGGATTTTGGCCATTCTAATGAGTGTGTAGTGGCATCTCATTGTCAATTTAATTTGTATTTTCCTGATGACATATGATTTGGAGCATCTTTTCATGTGTTTATTTGCTGTTATCTTCTTTGGTGAGGTATCTGTTAAGGTCTTTGGCCCATTTTTAATAGGATTTTTTTTATTGTTGAGTTTTAAGACTTATTTGTATATTTTGGATAACAATCCTTTATCAGATGTCTTTTGCAAATATTTTCTCCCAGTCTGGATTATCTTCTCATTCTGTTGACATTGTCTTTTGCAGAGCAGAAGTTTTTAATTTTAATGAAGTGTAGATTATGAGTTATTTCTTTTGTGGATAGTGCTTTTGGTGTTGTATCTAAAAAGTCATTGCCAAACTCAAGGTCAACTACTTTTTCTCCTATGTTATCTTATAAGAGTTTTATAATTATGTGTCTTACACTTAGGTCTATGATCCATTTTGAGTGAATTTTTGTGAAAAGTGTAAGGTTTGTGTGTAGACTTTATTTTGCATGTGGATGTCCAGTTGTTCTCCAGCATTGTACTGCTTTTCTTCGTTGTCAAAAATCAGTTGACTACATTTATGTGGGTCTATTTCTGGGCTCCCTATTCTGTTTCATTGATCTATTTATCCGTTCTTTTGTCAGTACCATACTGTCTTGATTACAGTAGCTTTATAGTAAGTCTTGAAGTTGGGTGCTGTCAGTCCTCCCGCTTTGTTCTTCTCCTTCAAAATTGTATTGACTAATCTGGATCTTTTGCCTCTTGATATAAATTTTAAAATCAGTTCTTCGATATCCACGAAATAACTTGGGATTTTGATTGCATTGATTGTATAGATCAATTTGGCCAGCACTTACATCTTGACAGATTTTTCTTTTTTTTTTTTTTAAAGATTTTTTCATTTTTTCCTTTTTTCTCCCTAAAGCCCCCCAGTACATAGTTGTATATTCTTCGTTGTGGGTCCTTCTAGTTGTGGCATGTGGGACGCTGCCTCAGCGTGGTTTGATGAGCAGTGCCATGTCCACCCCCAGGATTCGAACCGTCGAAACACTGGGCCGCCTGCAGCGGAGCGCGCAAACTTAACCACTCGGCCATGGGACCAGCCCCTTTTTTCTTTTTTTTTTTTTTGCTGAAGAAGATTCTTCCTGAGTTAACGTCGGTTGCCATTCTTCTTCTCTTTAGTATGTGGGTCTCAACCACAGCATGGCTGCTGATAAGTGGTGTAGGTGTGTGCCTGGGAACTGAACCTGGGCCACTGGAGTAGAGTCTGCTGAACTGAACCACTAGGCCACAGGGCTGGCCCATCTTGTCTATTGAGTCTTCCTATCTGTGAACATGAAATATCGCTCCATTTACTTGGTTCTTTGATTTTGTTCATGAGACTTTATCAGAGTTTGATAGTTTTCCTCAGACGGGTCTTATACATACAATCATGCACTGCATGGCGACATTTTAGTCTACAGTGGAGTGCATATATGATGGTGATCCCATAAGATTAGTACCACATAGCCTAGATGTGTAGTGGGCTATACCATCTAGGTTTGTGTAGGTACACTCGGTGGTGTTTGCACAATGATGAAATCGCCTGACAATGAATACATTCTCACCATTAAGCGATGCATGATTGTATTTTGTTAGATTTATACCTAAATATTTCATTTTTGGGGTGCTAACATAAATGGTATTGTGTTTTTAATTTCAAATTACACTTGTTTGTGTTGATATGTGGGAAAGTGATTAACTTTTGTTTATAACCTTGTCTCCTGTAGCCTTGCTATATAGTTCCAGGAGTTTTTTTGTCCATTTGTATTTTCTACATAGATGATCATGTCATTTGCAAACAAAGATAATTTTATTTTTTCCTTCCCAAGCTATATACATTTCATTTCCTTTTCTTGTCTTTTGCGTTAGCTAGGATTTCCAGTGGGATATTGAAAAGGAGTGGTGAGATGGGATATACTTGCCTTGTACCTGATCTTAGTGGGAAAGCTTCAAGTTTCTCACCATTAAGTATAATGTTAGTTGTAAGTTTCTTATATATATTCTTTATCAAGTTGAGGAAGTTTCCCTCTGTTCCTAGTTTACTGGGAGTTTTCATCATGCATGGTTGTTGGGTTTTGTCAAAGGCTTTTTCTGCATCTATTGATACCATCGTTTGATTTTTCTTTTTTAGCTTGTTGATGTGATTAATGGGTTACACTAATTGATTTTCAAATGTTGAACCAGCCTTGCATACATGGGGTAAATCACACTTGGTTGTTGTATACAATTCTTTTATATATATTTTTTTGTTTGTTTTTTTGAGGAGGATTAGCCCTGAGCTAACATCTGCTGTCAATCCTCCTCTTTTTTGCTGAGGAAGACTGGCCCTGAGCTAACATCTGTGCCCATCTTCCTCTACTTTATATGTGGGATGCCTTCCACAGCATGGCTTGCCAAGTGGTGCCGTGTCCACACCCGGGATCTGAATCAGTGAACCCTGGGCTGCTGAAGCAGAACGTGCGAACTTAACCACTGCGCCACCTGGCTGGCCCCCAATTCTTTTGTATTTTGATGAGGGTTTTTGTATCTAGGTTCATGAGAGATTATTGGTCTGTAGTTTAGTTTCTTTGTAATGTCTTTGTCTGGTTTTGATATTAGGGTAATGTTGGCCTTGTGAATGACTTAGGAAGTATTCCCTCTGCCTCTGTCTTCTGGAAGAGATTGTAGAAAATTGTTATAATTTCCTCCTTAAATGTTTAGTAGAATTGACCAGTGAGTTTATCTGGGCCTGTTGATTTCTGTTTTGGAAGGTTAATTATTGATGCAAGTTCTTTAAAGGATATAGGTTTATTCCTATGTCTTTATGACATGACTTCCTAGTCTTTGAAAGTGTCCTTATTTTCTGGCACAACATCGTAACATTCAGGTGTTCCAGAATCACCTTGTATAGTCTTACCTCATATCTGAAATAAGGTATTTTTTTCAAGGATACAAGTCTAATTTCTTTTACTGTGAAATAGTATTTAGAAACGCCCAACCTGGATACTTATGGTGCTTGTTTCTGTTGAGGTAATAATTGTGTCTTGAGATAAAAATAACTTCTGATGATTTGGGGAAATCAGTGGAAATGGAAGACAGATTACTTTTCACATTTTTATTTAAAATAATTTAATAATATGGTTACAAGCAAACTTTTGTCGTTTATAGTAAATGTTGAAGAACACCACTTCTCCCTAGACGTATATAAAACCATATATTTCTTTGGTTTTTGAAAAATACATTTAGCTTGAACAGTTTTATAATAGAAGCAGTCTAGTAGCTAGAAAGTGAATCCTGTTATAAAGAATTTAGTCCCTTGTAATTCACTTTTTTTTCCGGTTCTTTCCTCAATCTGAGACCTGTCTTTTATTTCAGTTTGTCCCTCTATCTCTACCTCTGCGAGATTCCTTAATTCTATCTATAACTCTTAGTATTTTACTCTCGTTCCCATTTCACTTGGATCTGTTTTGTCAGTAGAAAGTGTTGCCATGTGCTATGCTTAATTCAGCCTGGAAGTTTGAAATGTCAGTTTTAGTTAGTCATGCAGTCCTATGCTGGAAATAGACTCCAGTGGTTATCTAGTTTAAAATCTCAAACTTGGAATGTTGTTTTTGCAACAAATAGAAAAAAAAACGGGGCTGGGATTATACTTCAAAATAGTAGACATCAAAAAAATTAATTTGATAAAGATTTGGTTCTCCAGTAGTAGTAGAGCCACACTGGGACTGCTCGATTGTTGTGTCTCAACCCTGGTTTTTTGAACCTTATGTGTAAAACCAAGGGATTTCTGAAGATATTTTCTGGATTTAAGATTCCCCTACTTGTTCAGTTATTTTTTTTGCTCAGCCTATATTGGCTCATTTCCCTGTGAAAACATTCTTTTAAAAATTCTACGTATGTCTGTTTTTAGGTAACATTGCTGATGTTTTTGTAAAAGCCTTGAATAAAATCTTAACAAAAATATTTATGAATTTCTTGTGGGTCTTTTCCTTACTCATAATTCAGTAATTTGTTAATTTTGGCATTGTTTCAGAGATGTGAAAAATAAAACAATATCTGTCTTTAAAATGAAAATTAGAAAACCAGAATCTACATTGTATTTAACTTCTATGAGATGTGTTTTGAGTTATGCTTAGATTACTGAAGAGTGCATTTTCTTTCCTGTTAAGCATACCCTCGGGGAAGTCTGGGTCCAGAAAACGTCTGAAATGAATACAGATAAACAGTACTTTTGTCGTACTCATTTGGGACATCTTCTGAATCCTGGAGACCTGGTGTTGGGGTTTGTATTACTTTATAGTATTTTTAACTGCCAATTAGCATTGCAAATTTTCTTTGGGAGCCAGCAGAGCTGTCTGAAATACTGATGTTGTTTATTCTAAAAAGAATTTGAGTTCTTGGGAGACTGATGGCTTGTTTTATCATTGATAACTACATTAAACTGTTGATGGGACAGACAGAAGCCTATGGTTGCTGCATTTTGACCATCATCTTAAAGAGTCGTCTGTTCTAAGATTTTTGAGTAATTGAACCCTGAAGTTGCATGGTTAGATTATATTTACATTTTTCATATTTCACATTCAAAAATTTACACATTTGCATCTTTTGGGAGTGGGTAGTTTTTTATTATGTAAATGCTACTGCTCAAATATTTCACTTTTAAAATATGGCAGCCTTATATGTAATGGGTCTTTACAAGCTTAGGTTAGTCCATTCTGATACAAAGCTTATCAGCATGCCCTAAACTTTACTTTTGCTCTTATCATTTCAGTTCCTTTTATTAGAGAATGAAGTTTTAATTTTTTTTATAAACTAAATGGAACCATGTAACTGAATCTTAGTGTTGGACTGATATACAAGTCTGTTTTGTTTCTTGTACAAGTATATGGTAAGGTGGACAGTAACGGATAACGTGAAACTCAGAGATAAGAGCGCATTATCATCCTTGCTAGGGTCTGTAGAAGCATGTTCGCTATATAGCAAACTGAAGAACTTTTCAAGTGGGAGAGCATATCACATGTTTGCTCTTAGGAGGAAATTGTAGGGGATAATCCGTAAAATTAAAAGTTACATGGGAAGAGTAAATGTTTTTGTTGTTAAGTGTTTGATTGTTTTCATTTCAGGTTTGATTTAGCCAACTGTAACTTGAATGATGAGCATGTCAACAAAATGAACTCGGATAGAGTCCCAGATGTGGTAAGGCTTTAGAGTTTACTGTTTTTTCCTCTGGTAAAGAGGATTGTTGTAACTCTTCTGGGTAAGATGCACGAGTTCACATTTTTGAAAATAACGGGTCCATTTGGAGGTTTCTTTTGAAATTGCAGTTAAGGTATAAGAACAAAAGCCTTCATTTTTATATCATTTTTCTTGGTGGGAAAAATCAAAGATTTATTGAGTTTTTTTGTTGCTCTTATAATCAGATTTTCATTCTCTGTCAAAATGCTTGATACTATCTGTAGAAGAAAAATAAATTTGCAGCTAAAAATGACCTTTAGAATTTATTCAGGTTTATTTTTTTAGGCTCAGCTTAGTTCATGTATTGTTCAGTTAAGAAGGCATTTAGAGTTAAAATTGTTATTCAGGTTTGAAAATAATTGCAGTTGAAAGTAATCTTCACAGTATCAATTCTTAGAGAAAGAATGTTACTTCTGAAAAACCTGTTAAATTCTGACATGAGTTTATAAGAATCCTCAGCAATAGTGAACGTGCAAGACCCTCTCTCCTGTGTGCCTGATCGTTTACAATAAACATTGATTTCTTCAGCTTTGAGCAAAAATAAAGTCATGGTATAAGAAGGACTCTCCTCAGCACTCAGCTGTGCTTTTATTAGTTCATAAAGTAGGCAGTAGAAGTATGGTTTAGTGTAAATAGGTATTTCTAACAAGGTCATAAGAGGACTTCAAGATGGTCTTACAAGATTTTGTATTGTATAAAATTAGTTTCATTTATTCATTCTACAGTTTATTAAACTGTTCTAGGACGTAGAGTTTTGAAAGATATATATTGTTCTGTAAGTGCTTATTAGTAGGAATAAAAGGGCAAAAAAGTGCTTGTCTGTGATAATGTTTCAGAATGATTTATATGAATGGGAGCTGAAAACTGCACTTTGGTGTAAAACAAAACAAAACACCAGAAACCTGAACTCTTTGTTACAAAAATAATTTGATTTTCAGTCACTGGAAAATTTCAATTAGTAAATTTTGACAGTTATACAAATAATGTTTGAATGTATTCTCATAAAAAAGTACACACAGAAAAATGTTAGCAGTTCTCTTGACACTGCCTCTTGACCCCTGCTCTGTCGCCAAGGTGTAACCACTGTCATCAGTTTGGTGACTTCCTGGCGTTCTCCTAACCTTTCGTTTTTTAACTTTATTGCGTTTTGAGGCCCTATTATCTAGTTCCCATTTTTCATAACTTTGCAAATATTTCTGTTACTTTTAGGTGTTAATTAAGAAAAGCTATGACCGTACCAAACGTCAGCGACGTAGAAACTGGAAACTGAAGGAGCTTCCAAGAGAGAGAGAAAATATGGATACAGATGATGAAAGGTCCCACTTTTCTTTAAACCTTATATTTTTGTCTCAGAGGAAATCTGTGTGATACATCTTCATGGTTTTTATATTATAAAGAAATAGTCGTCACACAATTGATCCTTGTACTCAATATTAATTTTGTATTCTTACCAATGTGTTGATAGAATCAGTAATAAGAGAATATAATGACATTTAACACAGATTTGGTTATTATTTCCTGGGTTATGACCTGACACTTACAGTGTTGTTATAAACAATTCATTTGAAAAGTTAAAATATAATAAGTAAATTACCTTGTGGATATCACAAATGGCAAATGAGTAGTTGTGACTTGGGATAAAAAGAAAACAACTCATTAATAACAAATAACGCCATTTTCCAAACAAGTTAAGGAGAAATTAAGATACTGTGTTCTGGAAAAGTGGACTGGATGATTTGAAAAGTGGCCTTGATGGTGAAGACACTGTGTCTCAAAAAATGAAGAGTTTAAATAAAATTGTATTATGAAATATGAATAGGAAACAGCAATATTTCTCAAATATAACCCTCATAATGTAATTTAAAATAAGTACATATAAATATATAATGTTAAATTAGATATGATAAATACATATTTGACTGTTTCATCTGTAGTCTTAGAAGTATATGTATCTCAATTTGGCCTTAAGACTTTTGGGGGAGGGTAAACTAGGAAGAGGTCTTTTCATTGTCTTATATTTAACGTCCCCTTATATTCAGTTGTGTATTTTTTTGTCATGTAATCTTGAAAGAAAGGATTTTTTTTAAACTTCTCAGTATTTAACTAACATCCATATTTGACCTTCAGCTATTTTTAAAGATTTTAATACTTGGAACAGATTTATCTTACAGTGCTGAAAATGAAGATAACATAACTTTATACTTTCTTGGCAAAGATGAAATATTTAAATGTTTTTTTATCCTTCTATAGGCAATACCAAGATTTCCTTGAAGATCTTGAAGAAGATGAGGCAATTAGAAAAAATGTAAACGTATACAGAGGTTGGTATTTTAGAAGTGTTTGATTTAAGTTATATCTTCTGTATATAGATATATTACCCCAGTATGAGTATTTTAGTATCTTAAACTTTGATCTCATAAATGACTTTTATTGTGGTGTTAAAACTACCCCAGTTAAACATTTACCAAAAAAAAAAAACAACATTGTGGAACAGTAAAACTTAAAATGTTGTTTGCTGTGTGTACCACACTTGATATCATTTGCATCCTAGCATGATCCCTATGCTAGTGGATAGTTATTCATATATTTATGTAGTTCAGTCATTCAATGAATATTTATTTTTTTGGTGAGAAAGATTGGCCCTGAGCTAACATCTGTTGCCAATCTTCCTCTTCTTTTTCTTTTCTCCCCAAATGCCCAGTGCATAGTTGTATATCCTAGTTGTAAGTCATTCTAGTTTTTCTATGTGGGATGACACCACAGCATGGCCTGATGAACAGCGTGTAGGTCCGCGCCTAGGATCCGAGCCAGTGAACCCTGGGCTGCTGAAGTGGAGGGCATGAACTTAACCACTCAGCCTCTGGGCCTTCCCTATCAATGAATATTTAAATGCCTGCTCCAGATTTGATACAAGAGCTGTGCATATAGTATGATTAAATAATAGTAATGATGGTGGGGACAGGTATTTGTATATTTCCATATTTGCATTTGTTTGATATACTGCTTGTAATGTTTCAGATTCAACCATCCCGGTAGAAAGTGACACAGATGATGAAGGAGCGCCTCGAATTAGTCTGGCTGAGATGCTTGAAGACCTTCACATTTCCCAAGATGCTACTGGTGAAGAAGGTGACTCGATGATGACATAATGAGATCGTGTTGTAGACGGTTTCCACATCTGTAGGGTTGGGATATTGAACAAAATAACTTATTGTCTATCCCATCTATGTCTCTATGTTAAAAGAGGAGAAATCTAGTTTTAAACCTAAATAAATGACTATTCTGATATCTCACTCAGAAAACTGAAAAAGATAGATGGCTTTGAAGTTTTAGATAACGATAGATTATGGAGAATGTAATTATCGATATTTAGGCCATTTTATGTTTTGAATATTAGTGGTTCACTTTATATGAGATACCAGTATTTTCACATACTGTAGTGCTGGATTTAAAAGCTCAAAAGTTGTGATTTCTTGGAGGTTACCTAAATTTTCAAACATAAAGCAAGCTTTTATGTTCTTTTTATATTGATTGCTTTAGTGAAAGAAAGAAAGAGTTATTTTTAATTTGAACTTGCTATGCACTTTGCTCCACGTTAGATCATTTTTTATGTCCTTGGGGCAGGGAAGTTGGGGTTCATTTTATCACTGGACATTCAAGTGGAAAGTTAATCTTTTTTATTCATAATATTAACATCTTTAAAAGCTGATAAACTGTTAATTTTTATTACAGAAGAAAATATATTTAAAATATTTATGGATTTGTAGCAAACATAGACTAATTATTTAAAGGTTAAATAACAATTTGTGCCTTTGTTATTTTTGTCTGTGCCAGCAGCTTAGGACAGTAGCTGCTTATGTCATAAAAATGTCTTGCTATCACTTCAAGGATTTTGCTTTTAAAATTTTGATTTACAAATTGAGGAGGAAGGAATTTTCTCTATTTATTTGTATCATTGAACATGTCACTATCAAGAAGAATATTAAAATCCAGCATATAAGATGATGAAGTAATAAAAATCATCTTCATTCTTCATAAAATTATGAATCAAATTTGAATGAGGAATGAGTTCCACATCCTTGAAAGAAAAACCTTGGCTTGAGTTTTAGAGTTTTTTGAGAGTGAAGTATTAAGATCCTATTTCTATAAGCAAGGTCAGACTTACTAAATATTCCATAACTAAGCTAATTCATAAATTCTGTGTTTACCACTAAATAATATTAAGATTGAACTTCTCAATTCTGAAGTTAGGAATAAAGGCCTGAACTTTCCACAGTGGCTCCTTTTCTGTCTGCATCTTTGGTTAAAGTTTTCACTTGTGGTCTGTGTTTACCTCTTCTATGTCAAGATGTTAAGAAGCATGAAAAATAAAAACATTCCCCCCCTTTTTTGTGTCCTTGAAGTGATTGTATCAGTGTCATATTTAAATGACAGAGTATCTCTTGCAGTTTTCCAAAGTAAGATTGTTAAGTACTTGTCACATGATTTTCCCACTGAAATATAGAGTTTCTCACCAACCTTATTTAGTCTTAGGATTTTTGATGTTGTGTTTTTATGAGTAATGAAACCTGTTAGTTGAAAGAAGGCTGTGACAAGGCAAAGGAATGTAGCTAAGACAAGAGCTGTTAGCCAAGAGCTTGCAAGAGTTATACAGCCTTGATAAATCTATCATTTTAGAGTATAGTTGCCAGGCTTATGGGTCGCAAAATACTCTTGTTGATGTCCCAGAGTTGATACAATTTGGAAAGGCTGGTATTAATCATATTCACAAGAAGCTGATTTATAACCCAATTTCTAAGTATGAGTAATTTCTAAGTCGGTATAATCAGTTATCTTCTTTTGTATCCAGATCTGCACTTGAAGCTGCTGTTTTACAGGCAAAAGTTCACTTGATGAGCAAAGAAACAGTTGAGGAGAGAGAGTTGCTTGTGTGATTCAGATGTTTAACAGTATCAAGTATCAGCTAATTCATTGCTGTAGTAGAACCCAGAACTCCAGTCTGTGTGCCAGGACACACTTCTGTGGTCAGTACTGAGTCAGAATTAATTCTTTATTTTTAATTTTGACATAATTGCAGACAAAGAAAAGTTGCAAGAATAGTATGAAGAATTCCTAGATACCCTTCAGTCAGTTTGCCAAATGTGAATACTTACCTCATTTACTTTCTTTCTCTCTAGTTATTTTTCCTGAACCATTTAAGAGTAAAGCTCCCTAAATATTTCAATGTTACCCCCCACCAAAAAACAAGGAATTTTCTTACATAACCACAGTGCAGTGTTCAAAATCAGGAAATTGATGTTGACATAATACTGTTATCTAATTGATGGGCCTTACTGAGATTTTGTCATCTGTCCCAATTCTAATGTCTTATAGAAAAAATAAATCTGAGATTGTGTATAGCATTGGGTTCTCGTATCTCTTCAGACTTCTTTCATCTGGACCAATTCCTGAGTTTTTATGTTTTAGGTAATTGACATTTTTGAAGCTTCCAAGCCAGTTGTTTTGTAGACTGACCTCAATTTGGGCTCATCTGATGTTTTCTCATGATTAGATTTAGGTTAAGGCCTTTTAGCAGGACTACTCCAGAAGGAATGCCAAATTCTTGATGCATTGTATTAGGAGACCTGTGCTGTCCATTAGTCCAGATGTTCCCAAACTTTCTTGTTTTTGTTAGTTTTCTGTTTTAAGGAATTAAAGGATTTTTACAGTCATTATTTTCACTTGATTTCTCTTTTTAAATTCATTTTTGACTTAGTGAAGGTTACTCTTGATTTACAGTTTTATGAATTTTAACACATGTAGATTCATGTAGTCACCACAATCAAAATACAACAATTCTATCAACCCCCCCCAAACCCCTAAAAATTCCCTTTGCTACCCCTTTGTTTTCACACCCTTCCCCCACCCTTAATTGCTGGCAACTTCTGATCTGTTCTCTGACCTTATGGTTTGCTTTTTCCAAAATATTTAAATGAAATCATATAGTATGCAGCCTTTTAAGTCTGGCTTTTTTCCCTTAGCATGGTGCACTTCAGATTCATCCAAGGTGTTATGTCTATCAAGAGTTTGTTCCTTTTTATTTTGAGTAATATTGCATTGTATGGATGTACCACGGTTTGTTATCCATTCCCCTGTTGAGGCACATTTAAATTTCCAGATTTTGATTAGGAGTACAGCTGCTGTGAACATTTCTGCACAGGTTTTCATTTTACTGAGGTAAAAAACTAGGGATGGATCTCATAATAAGTGTATATTTAGCTTTATAAAAATCTGCCAGCCTGTTTTTCAAAGTGGTTTGTGCCATTTTGCTTTCCCACCAGCAGTGTGTGAATGTTTCAGTTACTCTGCATCCTCGCCACCACTTGGTGTTGTCAGTTTCTTTTTTAAGTCATCCTAATAGGTGGATGGTGGTTTTTTTTGTGGTTTTAGTTTGCATTTCCCTAATGGCTAATTATGTTGAACATGTTTTTATGTGCTTATTTGTTATCTGTGTATCTTCATTGGTAGAATGACTGTTCAAATCTTGTCTACTTTTAGAAATTGAGCTGGTTTTTTATTGTTAATTTTTTATTTTTTTATTGAGTTATTGATAGGTTACAATCTTGTGAAATTTCAATTGTACATTGTTTGTCAGTCATGTTGTAGGTGCACCACTTCACCCTTTGTGTCCACCCCCCACCCCACCTTTCCCCTGGTATCCACTAAACTGTTCTTGGTCCATAATTTTAAATTCCTCATATAAGTGGAGTCATACACAGATTATCTTTCTCTCGCTGGCTTATTTCACTTAACATAATTCTCTCAAGGTCCATCCATGTTATTGCAAATGGAATGATTTTGATCTGTTTTGCAGCTGAGTAGTATTCCATTGTATATATGTACCACATCTTCTTTATCCATTTGTCTGTTGCTGGACACTTAGGTTGCTTCCATGTCTTGGCTATTGTAAACAGTGCTGCAATAAACATTGGGGTGCATAGGACTTTTGGGATTGCTGACTTCAAGCTCTTTGGATAAATACCCAGTAGTGGGATGGCTGGATCGTATGGTAGTTCTATTTTTAATTTTTTGAGGACTCTCCATACTGTTTTCCATAGTGGCTGCACCAGTTTGCATTCCCACCAGCAGTGGATGAGGGTTCCTTTTTCTCCGCACCCTCTCCAACATTTGTTGCTATTAGTTTTAGGTATTTTTGTCATTCTAACGGGTGTAAGGTGATATCTTAGTGTAGTTTTGATTTGCATTTCCCTGGTAATCAGCGATGATGAGCATCTTTTCATGTGCCTATTGGCCATCAGTATATCTTCTTTGGAGAAATGTCTGTTCATGTCTCCAGCCCATTTTTTGATTGGGTTGTTTGATGATTTGTTGTTGAGTTGCGAGAGTTCTTTATATATTATGGATATTAAGCCTTTGTCAGATATATGACTTGCAAATATTTTTTCCCAGTTAGTGGGTTGTTTTTTTGTTTCAATCCTATTTTCATTTGCCTTGAAGAAGCTCTTTAATCTGATGAAGTCCCATTTGTTTATTCTTTCTATTGTTTCCCTTCTCTGAGAAGACATGGTGTCCGAAAAGATCCTTTTAATACTGATGTCAAAGAGTGTACTGCCTACGTTTTCTTCCAGAAGCCTTATGGTTTCAGGTCTTACCTTTAGGTCTTTAATCCATTTTGAGTTTATTTTGGTGAATGGTGAAAAAGAATGGTCAATTTTCATTCTTTTACATGTGGCTTTCCAGTTTTCCCAGCACCATTTGTTGAAAAGACTTTCTTTTCTCCATTATATGCCCTCAGCTCCTTTGTCAAAGATAAGCTGTCCATAGATGTGTGGTTTTATTTCTGGGCTTTCAATTCTGTTCCATTGATCTGTGCACCTGTTTTTGTACCAGTACCATGCTGTTTTGATTACTGTAGCTTTGTAGTATGTTTTGAAGTCAGGGATGGTGATGCCTCCCGTTTTGTTCTTTTTTCTCAGGATTGCTTTAGCAATTCGGGGTCTTTTGTTGCCCCCTATGAATTTTAGGATTCTTTGTTCTAATTCTGTAAAGAATGTCATTGGGATTCTGATTGGGATGGCGTTGAATCTGTAGATTGCTTTAGGTAGAACGGACATTTTAACTATGTTTATTCTTCCAATCCATGTACATGGAATGTCTTTCCATCTCCTTATGTCGTCATCCAGTTCTCTCAGAAAGACCTTGTAATTTTCATTATATAGGTCCTTCACTTCCTTAGTTAAATTTACCCCAAGGTATTTTATTCTTTTTGTTGTGATTGTGAATGGTATTGTATTCTTGAGTTCTTTTTCTGTTGGTTCATTACTGGAGTATAGAAATGCTACTGATTTATGCAAATTGATTTTATACCCTGCAACTTTGCTGTAGTTGTTGATTACTTCTAACAGTTTTCCAATGGATTCTTTGGGGTTTTCTATATATAAGATCATGTTGTCTGCAAACAGCGAGAGTTTCACTTCTTCCCTCCCTGTTTGGATTCCTTTTATTCCTTTTTCTTGCCTGATTGCTCTGGCCAGGACCTCCAGTACTATGTTAAATAAGAGTGGTGATAGAGGGCATCCTTGTCTCGTTCCTGTTTTCAGGGGGATGGGGTTCAGTTTTTGCCCATTGAGTATGATGTTGGCTGTGGGTTTGTCGTATATGGCCTTTATTATGTTGAGGTAGTTTCCTTCTATGCCCATTTTGTTCAGAGTTTTTATCATAAATGGCTGTTGGATCTTGTCAAATGCCTTCTCTGCATCTATTGAGATGATCATGTAGTTTTTATTCCTCAGTTTGTTGATGTGGTGTATCACGTTGATTGATTTGTGGATGTTGAACCATCCCTGTGTCCCTGGTATGAATCCCACCTGATCCTGATGTATGATTCTTTTGATGAATTGCTGAATTCTGGTTGCCAAAATTTTGTTTAGAATTTTTGCATCTATGTTCATCAGTGATAGTGGCCTGTAGTTCTCTTTTTTCGTGGTGTCCTTGTCAGGTTTTGGTATCAGCGTGATGTTGGCCTCATAGAATGTGTTAGGAAGTGTTCCATCTTCCCTAATTTTTTGGAATAGCTTGAAAAGGATAGGTATTAAATCCTCTCTGAAAGTTTGGTAGAATTCCCGAGGAAAGCCATCTGGTCTTGGAGTTTTATTCTTTGGGATGTTTTTGATTGCTGTTTCAATCTCTTTCCTTGTGATTGGTCTGTTCAAATTGTCTGCCTCTTCTTGAGTGAGCTTTGGGAGATTGTAGGAGTCCAAGAATTTATCCATTTCCTCTAGGTTATCCATTCTGTTGGCGTATAGTTTTTTGTAGTATTCTCTTATAATCTGTTGTATTTCTGCAGAGTCTGTTGTTATTTCTCCTCGCTCATTTCTGATTTTGTTTAT